AATGGATTAAGTCTGACAATTATTTGATATATTTTCTGTTTATCTATTTAAAAAAAAAACAAAAAAAAACGTATAAACAGAAAATATATAGCTAACTAGATGCTTCTCTGTGGCTGAATGATTAACAGCACGTCAGATTTAATTTTTTCCATGAGGGTGACAGGTTCGATTCCTGTCGGAGAAGCACATATTTTATACGAAATTTCAGGCCGGTAAATGTAATTAATACTGTTTATTTAAAAAAAAAAAACCAAAAAACCGCATTTACTTAAATAAATTATATCTATAAAATAACGTATAAACAGAATATATATATATATATATATATATATATATATATATATATATATATATATATATTAAAATGGACAAAGTCCGACAATTATTTTAAGACATTTTACGTGCTTTTACCGATTGAGCCACAGAGGATTGTTCGGTTAACAAGGTCGATTTTTCTGTTTTTGCTAACCGAACGATCCTCTGTGGCTCAATCGGTAAAAGCACGTCAGGCTATATGACGGTTCTGTATAGTTGAATAGTGCCTTATAAATGCAAGTCTTTCTCATATTCTCGTGTGTGTGTATATGCGCAAACACACACGTTCTCGAAATACACATACCTGCTCAGTTTCATCCCCTGACGTAAACAAAGCAATTTCTAAAGAAGTGACAGATTTTTATTTTATTAATGTGACAGATTTTTATTACTTAAACGTTATCTTTATTAACAGCCGCATCTGAGTAGATGCTCCGTTTATATGTTACACAGAATATTTATTTATTTTAGTCTCCCGGCCTGATTATTCGAGAAATCTTATTAAAGAAAAATATGCGCTCTCCGGCAGGATTCGAACCTGCATTCCTCTGGGCAGAGGAAATCTGAGCAGATAAGTATATTTTCGGGAGTCAAGGAAATATTTGTGTTTAAAGGCAATATTCAACTTTGCTTGATATATAAAAATGGCATATAAAAATGGCGAAATATATTTATTACATAACTGATACACGCGTACAAGAGTTCAACATATTATCTAAGATTTGAATATTACGTTCCTGAGATTGTCACCACCACGAAGAGAACATGCACGTGCTTACTCTCTCATTTCAAACGCAGTTGGCATTTCCTGTCTCGCGAAAGTTTGTACCAGCACGCAGGGTCACCTTTCGGGTGGTGCCTGTCGATTTCCAAAATGCTGTCGGAATTTCCTTTGGGCTGCAACGATGGATCTTTAGCTGGTGAAGTATGTTTCCACTACGTATGCAATTTATTCTGGAGAGTCTTACGTCAGCAAAAGAGATACCAGATACCTTTAAGAAATAGAAAAAAAAATCTTAGATAATATGTTGAACTCTTGTATATCAGTTATATAATAAGTATATTTTCGTACTCTGTCATTTTTATAATTCAAGATACTTGGAATTAAAGTGTGTCACCCTATATAGATATATATATAGTCATCCACAGACAGACTGTTTCGCTGTATCACAGCTCATCAGCGTGACTAGACACCCACTTGTTTCAAGCCGGGTTTCGATCTCGGCTTGATTTGGCATCAGTCGGAGAATCTACCCGTAAGCTATTGACGCATGGTAGAGAGGAAGGTGAATTTTAGCGTATTTATTTTAAACGCACACACACACACACACATATATATATATATATATCTCCTGTAGTGTTACATTAGAACATGCACAAATTCACTACAAAATTGTACATTTTTGTTTCAACGTCAAAAAAGGAGAACCTTTTTGGGACGTCTCATCATCAGGTAGGGAATTACGGTGTTCACTAAAAAATTTTATTCAGAAATACAATTATCGAAGCAAATATCCCCCACTTCCGTTCTTTGGAAATTTCCAAAAAATCTCTTCTAGAATTTATATGTAGAGATAGAAGTGAATCTAAAGTAGTTGTGGGCGAACAAAAAGGAATCCTGCTGTTCGTTCTCCTACACTTGGAGATATATCCTTATTTCTATTAAGTGGGTACTGGAAAAGTTCTCAACACGACCACGAGCGTGTTGTCTAACGTGATCAACAGTTTGAACAAGGCTGGCACGCTCAAACCCTCGGCCACGATGACTTGTGGCTTCATGGCCGATCGACGGCCAACAAGAATACAAGAGTTCCGTCTACCCAATTTCACTCACAAGACTCGAGCCGTGGTATGGTTTTCAGGCACTTTCCAATTTTCCTCGACCAGTCCGATAACATCATGAAGTCGCCTTCCTGACAAATCGACCATGGTTTATACAAAAGCAATATAAACGGAATAAAATCAAGGACAGTCGTATGCACATGCAAACGTGCACACACATACATGTACACACACACACACATACACGCACAAAGGCGCGCGAATATTATAATTCTTTATTAATATTGACAGTAACACTTCATTTCGTTCTTTTCAAGAGAGTCAAGTAGAAATGCTTACAATGACGCAAATTTTGTTTCATTATTTTTGAGAAGCCCACTTGTTTTTGCAGACTCCAAATTTAGAGCCGTATTTAATATTTCCTTACGGTTTGCAATTACGATTCTCTTTAGGCTTTCCTTTTTTTTTCTTATAACGTGAAATCTCATTGATTTCTTGTCTTTGAGAATAAAATTTTCATTCTTGTCTTTAAAATAAAATTTTTTGCTTATTTTCTTCTGTTTCAAAAATGTAACGTTTCGTTTTTGCTTATTTTCTTGTTTCAAAAATGTAACGTTTCGTTTTTGCTTATTTTCTTTTGTTTCAAAAATGTAACGTTTCGTTTTTGCTTATTTCGTTTTTGCTTATTTTCTTCTGTTTCAAAAATGTAACGTTTAGTTTTTGCTTATTTCGTTTTTGCTTATTTTCTTGTTTCAAAAATGTAACATTTCATTTTTGCTTATTTCGTTTTTGCTTATTTTCTTCTGTTTCAAAAATGTAACGTTTCGTTTTTTTATTATTTCGTTTTTGCTTATTTTCTTCTGTTTCAAAAATGTAACGTTTCGTTTTTGCTTATTTCGTTTTTGCTTATTTCGTTTTTGCTTATTTTCTTCTGTTTCAAAAGTGTAACGTTTCGTTTTTACTTATTTCCTTCTGTTTCAAAAATGTAACGTTTCGTTTTTTTTGTTTCGTTTTCCGATTACATATTAGTGAAAGCATTCAGCGCTGATTACGACCGACAATTTTACCTGTTTTTAAAATCCACTCTCGTTATTCTAACTCTGTTGTTTTCTCCTGATAGAACTAAATGTTCTCTCGGTTGTCTTTTTTCATTATATGTCTCAGAAATTTTAACTGTAGCTTTCTGATTGTGTCATTTTAGTTTTTATTTTCCTTAAAAATTTCTCATTGCTCACAGTTTCATTTTTTTTTACACAGTTTTGTTTTTTTACTAATTTTTCAAGTTCTTTGTTCAAAAATGAAGAATTGATGATGTACGGATATTAGTGTCAGCCGATATCTTGTTAAATGGAAATATCTGAAAGATGTTACTGAAGTTGCTTCAGTCAGCTATTTTCCTGACGATTATCAGCAAAGTGAAGTGGACCTCACAAGAAACATGTCAAACTACCCTGACAAAGAGGGTCACTTTGTGAAGCCAGAACTTGTGTTTTTAATAAATTATTTTTTTAGACAAAGGTGACAAGACAAAGAACGCCGTTCTCTATAATAAAGCGGTCACTAGCACCGAAAACATAGAGACTCACAGAGAGCGGACAAAAAGGGACGAGAGACCGTTCACCGCAACGCAAAAAGAAAGACATGGCTCGCAATAATGGTTGAACAAATCCGGCGAGTAGACACATCCTTGTCTTTAGAATAAATTTTTTGCTTATTTTCTTTTATTTTTAGCGTTTCTTCAATACACCAAATTTGACAATTTAAAAAATGCCCACTGATATGCCAGCTGTTACAGTGCAATCAAAAGCGATCTTTTAGAATCAAATTGGTTCTAATTTCATTGTAGTGATATGTAGATTAACCAATTAACAACGCCGGAATACTCAGGCTATATAATTATTCCGATTAGGAGGAGGAGGAGAGACATGCGAGCATTGAGTTTTAGCACAAAGGACTTAGCATTTCATAAGTCATATAACGTTAAATCTAGAATGGTTTTAGTAACTTTAGTAGATGAAACATTGTCAACCATTATTAATTTTTTTTATTAATATTTCCTTCAACTTAATTTTAGTTATTTTTCATCAGAACGACTAGTAGCTGCAGACTAGTGGTTTAAGCAGTTGCGATGAAAATAAACTAAAATTAAAATGAAAGCAATATTAGTAAAAAAAAAATATTAACTGAGGGATACCATATGTGCATAGTAAATGTCTTAATTGCGTTTCGTTTAGTTTCAGCTGAACCATTTCATTGTAATAATCAAATTCGAGCTGAAAAAGCTATAGAAAAAGGCCTAGAGAAAGAAAAGAGATGAATAAAAAAAAAACAAAATTAAGATGGAACAAATATCGAATGAACGATCTTTTTGACCAACCAAATAAGTACATTCTAAAAGTCCTAATTTCGTTTCGTTTCAGTTGAATTATTTGACTGTTTATATCAAATGTAATGATCAAAATCAAATTTAGAAAAATGTTGAGAAAAATCGAAGAAAAAGAAAAACGAGACGAATAAAAAAATGGAAGAAATATTAACTGAACGATCTTTTTGATCAAACCTATATGTGCATAGCAAAATCCTAATTTCGTTTCGTTTCAGCTGAATTATTTTACTGTTTCTATCAACTGTAATGATCTAATGCAGATTTGAAAAAATGAAAGAAAAATAAACGGGAAAACAAAGAAGAATAAAAAAAAAGATTTAAAATTAAGATGAAAGGAATATAATCAAAAAATAATATTAACTGAACGATCTTTTTAACCAACTCCATATGTGCATACTAAAAGTCCTAATTTCGTTTCGTTTCAGCTGAATTATTTCTGAAGGAAGGAAGGAAATCAGAAGAAAAAGAAAGAAAAAAGAAGAAAAATCTAAGGCTAACAAGAAGGAAAAGAGTAAAGATGCTGTGGGAAACGGTCCTATCTCTGACGGTGTTATTAAATGGCGTCACTGCGATGCGTGAGTAATTTTCATTTTTCATTCTTTACAGAACGTCCATCTAAAAATAGAATTAATACCAAAAGAACATATGTAGTTAGTAAAAAATGCGCTGCTGATCGACCATTTCTAACAAAAAAATTAAATATTTGTACAGTGGAATCTCGAGATACGAGTTTAATTCGTTCCATGAGTGAGTTCGTAAGTCGAGTTACTCGTATATCGAAGCTATTTTCCTCATTTGAAATAATTAAAATACCATTAATCCGTTCCAATCCCTTCAATAAAACACCCTACTTTTTATACATACCTTTAAACATGTAGCATGTATTTTACTATACTATAAATAAAATATAAAATGTATGAATGTAGTACTATTAAACAGTGCTCCAAAAATAATAAAATATGCTTGTTTACCTCTGACATTTAAAGAACAGCGCTGATTAACGGTAAATTAAACCTGGAGTTGGCGGGGGGGGGCAGATGCTGAAGTGTGGGTTTTGTAGGAGACAGATGGCGGAGTTTTTTGTTGGCTCATAAAACTTATCAATACTAATTGGTACGATTTCTTTTTAGATTTTAAATCTACTTTATCAATGAACTTAATTGGTAAATATTTTTTACAGTTAAATTTTTTATTGCCTTTGCCGTTACATATGTACCCTTAATTGCTACATATTTTTTTGTTTTTTCACTTAGCGCTAAACTTAAAATTGCGTACATTATTATCTTTTACTTAATACTTAATCTTCGTCGCTGATTTTTTCAACGCCATCAGTGACGTTCGCATCTTCATTAGTTTTTGTTTTTTCGGCGAAAGTTTTTATGTATTTTTCCGCTGCTTCTTATCAGGACTCACTGCCTCACCATGCCTCGCGACGGAGTGAATGCCAGGACTCTTCCTAAACTTATGAAACCAGCCACGACTGGCTTTAAATGAATCTTGTGAGTCTAAGTCAGCTGAAGTACCTGGTGTCTGCTTCAGCAAGTCACTGTAAATCACTCGTGCCTTCTCACATAATTGCCTCTGTCACGGTATCCCCTGCAAGTTGTTTTTCGTGCACCCGCACCAATAGCAGCTTTTCCATCTATTCGTGACGCGGAGTCCGAAGCCTTGAAAGAATTGTAACTCCCTTGGCCGGCGTTATAGTTTTCAGTGTATCCTTCTGTTTAAGAATTGCGCATGTTGTTGAAGTATTATTCTCAAATTCGTTTGCCAAATCAACAACATATAATCTACGTTTCATGTTTTGCAATGATGTCGCGCTTCATTTAAAGTGAAATCTCTCGTTTCTTCATAGCATTGTCCTTTGGATTTAGTTTTCAAAGGGGCCATGGTTGAGTTACAACAAAGAAATTTGGAAAAATAACCGCACAAATCGAATTATGAGCTAAACCCTTGCCTAGAGTATGGCTGCTATATATGGTCTGGAGCCCCTTCTGTTTGCCTCGGGGTTCTTGATAAGATCCAGAGGCGGATATGCAATATAATTGGCCCTGTTCTGGCATCTCGTCTACAGTCGCTCTCTCAAAGACCCACCGTCGCCTCACTCTGTCTTTTTTACAAATACTTTCATGGTAATTGCTCCGACGAGCTGCATTCGCTGGTTCCCAGACTTCATGAATTCAAGCGCCCTACGAGGCTGGCATCCCGCTCTCACCCTTTAACTGTCGAAACTCCTAAATGTAGCCGTCTCCTCTACTCCAATAGCTTCATATATCGCACCTCTCTCCTGTGGAACTCCCTTCCCTATTCCAGTTTCCCTGAGAGCTATAATCTCCAACTATTCGAATGTAATGTCAATTGACATCTCCAGTTGCCTTGATCTATCCACTATTCTTCTCCCCATCCTTTCCTCTCTGATCTTGCTCCAAATCTTCTGTAACCCCTTGCGTCCTAGTGGCTTCCCGCCTTGCTTGGGGTGAAACGCTTAAAAAAACAAAAAACAATGCAGATTACAACGCGCCACAACCTACGAGATAAACAATGAAACTAGTCACGTGGGTCTCATTCTTGGCGCGAGGTGCTGAGACAGAGTTTGCTTGGTAGATGGCTGGGCCGCACGCGATTTTCAAAATCAAAGCTAGCGAGCTCGACTCGTACCTCGGGGCAAACTCGTAACTTGAAGCAAAAAATCGTCATTTTTTTCTGCTCGTAACATGGAACACTCGTAAGTTGGGTCACTCGTGTGTCGAGGTTCTACTGTATTTATTTCCGTAAGTATAAACAACTTGACTCATGTTATGTACTGATGATGACGTAGGTAAACATCGAAATATCAAGAAAATCACTCTCTCTTTCCTTTTTGTTATTAATATAGATTTCTTTGTTATGATTTTTCTGAAGATTAAAAAAATCCTTCATGCCATTTACTTTCAATGTATCCTCCTCTTTTTCTCCAGAATAGATCTATTTCCTTTTTTTAATCATTTTATACCTTTTACATTATCAAGGCTAATGTTTCCAGTCTGCACTACTATTTCATCTATAGATAGAGAGAATTAATGATGAAGTTTAAAAAAAATGTGACTCGTTTCATCCTTTAGGACTTCATCGGACCAAAGTGGTGTTTTTGTTGATATAATTATATCTGCGTATGAAGAGGAAGGGGATATAAAAACGCAAACGTTGGTTATAACCCCCTCCCCTTTATACGCCTATGAAATAAAAGCATCACTTTAGCCCGATGAAGTCCTAAAGGATGAAACGCAGCATTTTAAATATTTTTCCACTTTGTGATTAATTTTCATAATATTGTTCTCGTATATAAAAAAAAATGTATTGTTTTTCGAACTTTCAGTCATTTGTTGAAACACTTCTCAAATATTTAAATTCTTGTACTTGTTTTATCTTGGTATCTCCAATTTTAATTTGCATGTTGGGTTGTTCCTTTTGCTAACAGCCATGCATTCTGTTTTCTTACAATTGATAGTTAGTACTTTGTTACTTAACCATAAAGTGAATTTAGTTAAGAATGTCACAAATTGAATGACAAGAAAAAATGATACTACTAAATTTTGCATGTTATTTCCTTCTTTCACCTAAATGCTACGCTATGCAAAAAATGGTCGCTCAAATTGGACCACCACATCTGTTTCATTCTAGATTTGGATATTAGTTTAACTGTAAATAATCAGTTTTTCTCATCTCAAAGAGTCAGACGTTAAATCTATCCGCCATGATAATCATCAGTCACTCTTTCTTTCAGACATGTTCAATGTTGCTCTTCGTAAAAATGGAGGAATATGTTTGGGTGCTTCGTCGACTTTCAACTCGAACACAGGATGCGGGGAAGCTATTGACGGTAAATTTGACCACAACAGCATGTGGATGACGAAAAATGAGGGGGAGGACTCGTGGATCAAACTCAAATTTTCGAATTTTTACTTAATTAAGGTCGCCAGAATTATGCAACATTCCAGTATTCACGAACAATCGAAAGATATCCTGATGACTTTCAGTGATGGTTCCCAGCAAACAGTAAGTCTGTCTGTCTGTCTCTCTCTCGGTCGCTCTCTCCCTCTCTCTCTCTCTCACTCTCTCTCACCGTCTCTCTTTCTGTCTCTTTCTGTTTCTCTCTCTCTCTCTCTAATTCTGTCTCTCGGTGTCTCTGTCTCTCTGTCACTCTCTCTGTCACTCTCTTTGTCTCTCTCTCTCTCTCTGTCTTTCTCTTTCTGTCTCTCTCATTCTCGCGCGCGTGCGCGCAATGACAGGGTTTCTTGTTTTTATTGAGAAATGAATTCTTGTGTGTAAAAATTAACGAATGTATAAATCTTTGTTTATATTGTTCTTTCAGAGCAAACACCGATTAATTCTGTAAATTAGTTATCATATAAACGGATTTTTATTGCTTATTAAATCCACCTTTTATTTATTAGCAACGCTAGGCACTTTCATTCATGCCGTACTTCTTTCCTCTGTCAGCGTTTTACACTTTCATTCAGTTACTGTTACTTTCTTTTTTGCTACTGCATTAATTTATTTTGATCTTTCTTTCGTTCGTTCTTTCTTTCGTTCGTTCTTTCTTTCTTTCGTTCTTTCTTTCTTTCGTTCTTTTTTTCTTTCGTTCTTTTTTTCTTTCGTTCTTTTTTTCTTTCGTTCTTTCTTTTGTCACCTTAACAAATGTAGATTATTGTATTTTATTTTTCTTTCTTTCGTTTTTTGTCACCTTAACACCTATAGAATGTTATATTAATTTAGTTCGCTTTTCTTTCTTTCGCCCTTTCTTTTGTTTTGTTGTTACCTTAATACATATAGATTTTTATTTATTTTGTTTGCCTTTCTTTCTTTCTTTCTTTCTTTCGCCCATTTACCATTTCTTTCACCTTTTCTTTTGTCCATTTGTCACTTTAACACTTAGAGACTATTTTATTAATTTAGTTCGCTTTTCCTTCCTTCCTTTCTTTCTTTCTTTTCTCGTCCTTTTTCGTTTTTTGTCACCTTAATAGTTGCGTTAATTTAGTTTGCCTTTCTTTCTTTCTCTCTCTTTTTTTCTTTCTTTTGTCACTTTAACACTTAGAGACTATTGTATTAATTTAGTTCACCTTTCCTTCTTTCTCTCTTTTTCGTCTTTTCCTTTGATTTTTTTGTTAACTTTACACATATAGGCTGTTGTACTAATTTAGTTCTTTCTTTCTTTCTTTCTTTTGTTTTGTTGTCTCCTTAGCAGATATAGACTATTGTATTAATATAGTTTGTCTTTCTTTCTTTTTTACTTTTTTAATTCTTTTTTCTTTCTTTCTTTCTTTCTTATGTTTATGTTATAGTTTGCTTTTCTTTCTTTTGCCCATTTATCATTTTAACACTTAGAGGCTATTGTATTAATTTAGTTCGTCTTTCCCGTTTCCTTCCTTCCTTTCTTTCTTTCTTTAGTATTTTCCATTTCTTTTTTATCACTTTAGTACATATACACTGCGTGCCTAATTATTATTGAGATAACTTTTTTTCTAATATTTCAAAAATCGCTCAATCAATTCACACAAGATTTTCACACAATGTTGGCAACACTAGTCTGCGCAATCACTGAAATTTTCGTATTGATCTGCGCAATGTAAACAAACTGGCGCCATATTTGTTATCAACACGGTGATTTGAGCGTGCCAAATTATTAGAAAGGTTTAGTAAAATTCCCAGAATTGAGCAAACAAAACGTTTATTAATGTTGCACATGAATGTTTATGATCAAAAGAAGCTAATAAATAAGATAATCAAACAAATAATAACAGATACAAACAAAGGCACAGTTATAAACAAATTAATAGGGAATGTGCTTTCCCTGTTTTGAAATTACTTGAAGAAGTCGACGATGCATAGAATTTGTTAATTGTAGGATGTCATCTGCTGTAATGCCGCGAGATATGTCAAGAATTGCTTTCCACAACTCAGCGTTGCTCCTGAATTGTCGTCTGTTGGTGTACAGTCTTCGCTTCATTATGCTCCAAAGGTTTTCGATTGGGTTGAAATCCAGAGAATTTGCTGGCCACTTCATATTTCGAGGTCCATCGAAGCCTAACTGTTTCAAATATTCAGTAGTCTTGTGAGCAGCATGTGAGGGAGCATTATTTTGCATAAAAATAATGGCCCTTCTGAAGGCAACTCTTTGCCTTTTCATCCACGATCAAGACGCTCCTTCATAAACGCTATGTATGCATCAGCAGTCATTTTGACGCCATCTGGTACTCTCCATGGGCCCACTAATGTTTTTCCAATAATACCACCCCAGATAATTATGCCTCCACCGCCTTGTTGGCGTCTCAAACACTGATGGCGATTCTGTCCGTTCATTACTCAGCCTTTGCACCATCTACCTGGCCCATCAAGTGTTGCTCGAGTTTCGTCTGTGAACAAAACTTTAGAGAAGTCAATCTTCATATTGTCCTCGACCCATTTCAGTTGATTTTGAATGTGATTTCTCGTCAACGGAGGCTTCGATACAAGTTTGACTGTTGTCGCTATTTCCCTCAGATAACGACACCGAGTACTTTTAGACACAGTAGGATCCCCATGCGACTGAAAAGCTCTTGACTGGTAAGTCAAGGGTTCTTCGTGGCCTCTCGTTTAAGTCATAACATGAGACGACGTGAAATAACACTCGGCTTGCCTTTATCTGCTCTTTTGCGTACTTGTGTAGGGTCGGTAGTGAACTTTTTCACTGTTTGATGACACCTCCCTATCATTTTAGAAATTTCTAGGGTAGATTTACCTTTTGAGAGTTCTGAGGTGATAGTTTTCTTTTTAGCATTAATTAAACTGCTTTTATGGCCCATCTTTTTACTAAATTCTTACACTTTTCTAATAATTTGTCACACTTAAATCACAGTGCTGGTAACAAATATGGCGCCAGTTTGTTTACATTGCGCAGATCAGTACGAAAATTCCAGTGATTGCGCAAGTCAGTGTTGCCAACATTGTGTGAAAAATTTGTGTGAATTGATTGGACAGTTTTTGAAATATTAGAAAAAAGTTATCTCGATAATAATTTGGCACGCAGTGTCGATTATTGCATCCATTTGTTTTATTTTTCTTTATTTTTTATTTTCTTTTGATTTGTTTCACCTTAGCACATATAGACTGTTTTATTAATTTAGTATGCTTTCTTTCTTTCTTTCTTTCTTTCTTTCTTTCTTTCTTTCTTTCTTTCTATGCTCTTTTCCAAATTTTCTTTCTTTGCTCGTTTCTAATTTCTTTCTTTATTTCTTTCTTTGCTCTTTTCTAATTTCTTTCTTTCTTTCTATCTTTCTTTCTTTCTTTGCTCTTTTCTAATTTCTTTCTTTCTTTCTTTCTTTCTTTCTTTCTTTCTTTGCTCTTTTCTAATTTCTTTCTTTCTTTCTTTCTTTCTTTCTTTCTTTCTATGCTCTTTTCCAAATTTTCTTTCTTTGCTCTTTTCTAATTTCTTTATTTCTTTCTATGCTCTTTTCCAAATTTTCTTTCTTTGCTCTTTTCTAATTTCTTTCTTTCTTTCTTTCTTTCTTTCTTTCTTTCTTTCTTTCTTTGTTTCTTTTTCTTTTATAGACAGACTTAAATTTATTCGTATCGTTATTCTTCTTCTTTTCTTTTTCTGAACGTTTTGAAAACTTTGTTCGAAACCTGTCCTAAGAACGATAAATTAATCCCTTTCAAATGATCAGCACTGTAACAGTGGAATTTAATATTTGCAATAAATTGGCATTGAACCGACATAGAAGCAAAGTTTTCACGTTTTTTTATCATTTCATCACAACCAACCCGATAATGCCACTAAGATACATTGACAAAGAAAAAAAATGAGAAGACATTAGTGTGTGGAAAGGACAATAAAAGAACAGGTTTCAGGAAGACAGAAGATGGCGATTGACGTTGTATTTAAATTTTTGAAGATCGTTGATGACGGGGAACAAAGAAAACCGGAGAGAGTTTCACGGGCCATAAGTATAAGAGAATAAATTATTAGAATAGAACTTGCGGTTACATGAAGCTATTTCAACAGTAAAAAAAAAATTGAGACCTAACAGCCAATCTAGTAGTACGCTTAAATTCATGCGGTCAATGTACCAAGGAGGAAAGATCATTAGAACAATTGTCCATGAAAATATTCATAGAAATGACAGAGGAAGCCATGTTACGGCGGTGCAAAATCGACTGAAGGCCGATAAAATTACAGACGTATCGAGAAAATTGTTCGAAAATAATTATCTGAAAATAATTATTCGAAAAACATTTATTCGAATTGTAAATTGTTTAAATGAAAATTAATGGAAAGGACAATTCTACTATCTTTTATTTTCTTTAGAATTCATCTTTTTTTATCCAAAGTTCTTTTTGTGAATAATTTCAGGTCATCCATTTACTGAATTTATTTTTTGTTTTCTTAGTTCACACTGACGGAAAACAATTCAACAACGTGGAAGAAAGATCTGGCCATTTGGGACAAATTCGACTTGGAACCTGTGTTGACAAACACTGTAAACATTACAGTTCTCTCGGTCTACTCTTCATATAACAACGGCTTTCGAGAATTGGAATTCTATGTCGACTGTGAGTTGATTCAGCCTCTTTTCGTTGTCACCTTCAATTGCAAATAAAAATATCACTGTAAAAAAACAATTATATTTTTATTTGCTGTTAAAAAACAAATATAATTTTTTAAAATGTAATTTATTTTTAAAACATTAACCAAATACCCGCCGTACGGACAGTGAAAAATAAATTCTAATGAAAATTTTCTTACCTTTTATAAAATTTTTGTATGAACAACATTTTCAGCATATAAAATGTCAAACGACATCAATGGTTACTACGAACGCTGCAGATTAGGATTTAACTAACGTTGGGTTTAATTTTTCTTTTGAATTATTTAAAATTATATTTATACAATTTCTCTTACAAACAACATAATCAACATGACAACTATTTTCTAATGTTTTTTTCTGTCATTATGCTGAGTTCACTTGAATTTTTTACTATTAATTAAATAGATCTGACGAAGGGAGAAACATTTGAATGATGTCCTAAGGCTTGTATTAATAACAATAAGAAGAGTTAATTCTGCAAACTTACTAATTTTTCACTTGTTTGAATAATTCAGCAAAGTTTTAAGAAAATCCAATTAAGTAGATTATTTGGAATTATTTAGATAATTCTGTAATATTTTTTGGTTCAGCTTGACTAATTTGTAGTAATGTAAAATGTCAGACAACAATGATTATTAGGAACGTTTTTACTTTTTAAAGATTACTTTTTTTTTAAATTTTATTTTTGGAAGCCAAATTTGACGTTTTATTTAAATGTAGTTTTTGGAAGCCAAATTTTAGCCATAGTTTTTTTGCTCAGTTATAACTGGATTTTACGAGGCAGACAAATTCTTTCTATACAAACACGATGAATTTAGAACTTTATCGAAAGAAACATTGTTTAAATATGGCATTTCTTTTAAAGAATTGAATTAAATAGCACTGATGAAATATTTATCAAAATATTCTTTCAAAAATTGCTATGCAAATTAAATATTACTGCTTACATAGTAAACGCTTTTTATTAGAAATATATAAAAAAGACTGATTGCAAAATACTGGCACAGGAGTTACCTGGCACTTGTGCTTCGTTCCTGTTGCTGGTAGCATCACGGCTACGACTAGCTTGGACCGGCTCGGTTCTGGACCAGCTATGACTAGCTTAGACCAGCTCTGGCAAGCTATGACCAGCTTGAACCAGCGGCCCGATTGAAAACACTCGGGTCCCCACGTTAAAAACTGACCTCGTGTCACAACCTGACTCAGTGGCGAGTCAAGTAAATAAACCTGGCACAGGAGTTAGCCATAACCAATGAGGATTTTCTGGTGTGGTTATTGCTCGTGTGCTGTGAGTAGATCTATGTTCCGCCTTATGACATGATGGAAGAACATGCTAGGTTGCACCCTGCAGCTGCACCTTCTTCATTGCAGTAAGAAAGATGGGTTCGGTGTAATATAGATGCCAGCGTGACAGTGGTCGCTGGGACTGGACAAAACAACAATTTTTGTTCTTGTCTCATATGCATACGTCTGTGTATGTCGCTCCTCACATTAAAACGACCTTGTGTCATACCCTGCCTTAGTGGGGAAGCCGGAAAATATACCTGGCACAGGAGTTAACACTGCCGGAAGGGGATTAAACGTTTCTCATCATTTTAAATGGGAAAAGGTGCCCAGTCCCGGGGATTCCAACCCCACGACAGCACCTTCCTCATTGCAGTAAGAGAGGTAGGGTTAATGTTATATCGATGCCATTATGAAGTCGCGAAGATTGAGCAAAAATCACATCCTGCCTTATTGGGGAGGTCGGGTAAGTATAAGGGTTGGACTTTGGTCGCAATCAAAGCGGGGTATCTGTTCTCATCTTAGACGAGGAAAGGCCCCTGCCCAGGTGATTCCAACCATGCGACAGTACCTTCATTGCACTGAGAGAAGTGGGGTCGGTATGATATCGACGCCAGAGTGACACAGGTCGAGGATAACTAGAAAATGTTTATCCTTGGCTCATATGTACACGTATGGTGTCCACACATAAACAAAACCTTGTGCTACATTCTGCCTTAGTGTGAAGGACAGTAAAATAAAATCTGTACTACGGTACACTTTATAAACTCAGTTTAGTTAAGCTTGACACTAGGTCAGAAGTATGGGGTACTCAGTGACAATGAATTTCACTACACAGGACTAATGATCGGCCAACCAGACTAGGTCGCTAACAATTACCTCGCAGAGAGGCGCCTGAAGCTCTCGTATATGTTAAAATATTTTAACTTTGCCTAGATTGAAAACAACATGAGAAATTTTAAAAAAAAAATATTATTACTCCCTACGAATACGTTTCTTTTATTTTTTTTATAAAGTGGATAGCAGCTGGGCGAATTGGTATGAGTGGAGCAACTGTTTTGGACCATGTGCATCAGGCTTCCGGATACGCATGCGTAACTGTCTCAATCCGTTTGGCGGTCCGACCTGCAAGGGGATTTCCCAGGAGACAAGATCCTGTTCTCAAGACGATTGCTCTGGTGACAATCTCCCTCCATCGGCAGCTAGGCGTAAGTGATATGGTTTTAATTTCTGAAAAAACTCTAACGAACCGCAAAGCAATTTCAGATAGCATAGAAAGAGAAAATTTTCTTAAAGCTTGACGAGAGAGAAGAATTATGCCTATGCTAACCATTGACATAATTCTTCTCTCTCGTCAGTATCTTTCTGAAATTACCATAATATTTCCTTCTGACAATTGTCGTACCAATTCATTTCTATAGTTCTACTCATTAAATATATTTCGAAATTCTTTCTTTCTTTCTTTCTTGTTTCCTTGCTTGTCTAAATTGGTAGATATATGTAATTCTGTTCATATCTATATATCTAAATTGTTTGATATCTATCTCTCATGATTGATACATATACGTAACTCTGTTCGTAGCTATCTATCTAAATTGGTTGATATATATATACATATATATATATATATATATATATATATATATATATATATATATATATATATATATAGTAACCATGTTCATGTCTATAGATCTAAATTGGTTGATATATACGTAAATCTGTTCATATATATCTATCTATTCATCTAAATTGGTTGATATATATAAATATACATACATACATATATATATATATACACACGTAACTGTTCATGTCTATTTAAATTGGTTGATATATAATATATATATATATATATATACGTAACTCTGTTCATAGATGTGAACAGAGTTATGCATATATCAACCAATTTAGATAGATAAATTGGTTGCGATATGCGTAACTCTGTTCATATCTATCTAAATATCTCAGTCTATTCCTATCTATCTAAATTGGTTGATATATACGTAACTCTGTTTATATCTATCTGTGCGTGTTAGTAGGTAGTGAGACAAAGTGGAACACGCGAAGGTCGAAACACGTTGTCATTAAAAACTTTTCAACTTTGTACATTTTTTTACGATCAAACCAGCTATCACGACTACAAATCAAAAGAATTTATCTAAGTTTGATATAACATTTCTTACAACTACTCCTAAAACAATAAAAGACTTAATTAATACAAAAAATAATAACTTGAAGGAGGAATTTATCAATCACCTGTAATAATTGCTACAAGAATATAAATGAGAGACCTCGAGGAATTTAAATAAATGTTTATATGAACATAAAAGGGATCTTTTACAAAACAACACCCTCAATGCATTAGTTGCCCGCCGTAATGACTCTGACCATAGTTTTGACTTTAAAAAATACTACTTTAATCAAGAGAAAGCAAATAAATAAGACGAAAATGTATAAAGAGTGCTTTAAGTGCTAGATCATCCACAGTAAATTTACGTCCTGGTTCTTGGAAAATTTCATCTTTCTTAGCTTTTATTGTCACAATATGGGATATTTAATAACAAAAGTGATAAAAACATAAAGAAAAAAAAAAGACTAAACGGAATCGGCTCGACAATATATCCCAGACATAGAATTAAAAAAAAACAAAAAAACTTTAAAATGCTCAGCATTCCTTCTCTTTCTCATGTGTAGTCGCATCAACGTAAACATCCGATGATGTCCGATGATGTCCGAAATAACGAAGCGTGTCACACGAAAACTTTCTCAACTTTGTCATAGATTTCCCGAAAACTATTCTTGATAAACATGGTGCGATGGATAAATTGTCGTCTAAATGATGCACACACACACACACACACACACACACACACACACACAATGAAAATGACATATCATTTTAAGAAATATAGAGTGTGCGATGGATAAATTGTCGTATAAATGACGCCAAAATGAAAATAACACTGACATTTTATTTTAACACACGTATTTACCAAATTAACACAAAAATATCTTGAAATACTAAAGAGTAAATTGATTTAATAAAATTGCTATTGGCTTCAACCACAGCCGTCAGACGACTTCGGAATTTCCTGCAACTCTTCTGGACGGTCTGTTTGTTTAAGTTGGTGAATACTGTCATAATTCTTGCCTTCTGTTCATCTTTGGGGTTACAAGGAGTTTTGTTGGTCTCTCGCTCAATTGCGCCCCACACATAATAATCGAGGGTTGCAGTCTGGGGAGTTAGGTGACCATACGTAAGGGGTGATGTGATTGCAGAAATTATCTGGCAGCCATGACTATGTTCTCCTGCTAGTATGGCATGGTGCAGAATCCTGTTGTCAAACATAGGATCTTACAGCAGCCATCCTATTGATCCAGGGCAGTATTACCACCTAAAGGCACTTGATGTAGGCCTCAGTGTTAAGTCTGAGGCCCTGTGGGAAGATGAATGGAGGCATAACGTCTCCATTACTAGCTATCACGCCAAACACCTTCGTAATCACCATTAGACTCATCCACCTATTTCCGAATCCTCTGCACTGTCTTCAGATTGACTCCCAAATACTCTGAAATGTTCGTATTGAAGCTTCTGGCGCGAATGCCAAGCAGTACAGCATACCGTTTCCAAATTTCTGGCGGAGGGAATTACGTCATGGTGCTCTTTTTCTCACAGACTTGCCCAACTGACCCTATTATACTGTGTAATCGACAAAATCAAAAACAACGCGCATGCGTGAAATTAAAAATTTAACATGGCGACAATTTACCCATCGCAACCTGTAGAAGAATTTATACATAGCTTTCCTTTCTATCCATCTATCTATCTATCTATTTATCTATCTATCCTGAACACTTATCCATTCGCAGACATTTCTATTCAAATTATTCCATGCGCAACACAAATACAAATTGTTAAAAAGTTTCGCAATATATTTGATATAACTGCGTGTGATTATCAGAGCATTTTACAGCAATTATCCTCGGCATCCTTTTCCTAATCAAACCACATCAGCTTTCATTTTTAATGTTCATAAACAGATTTGGCATAAAAAGGATTTAAAAAATTCCCAGAATATTTTCAGTAATTGCTAACTTGAGCGAAATTTTAAAAGTGTCAGATTGAATTAAAAAAAAAAACAAAAAACAAAACTAAACTGGTCGCCTAATTTGTCCTGACAGCGCGATCGTCTCACAGTCCTTTTTGCTAGGTAAATGTATTGAGTTCGATCTTCTCTGTATGCCCCACACCTATGACTTCGTCCCAGATAAAACCAAAATCAAGGAAGGATGTGCGGGTAGTGTTGCGTATATATGTGCTAAAAATGGAACAGGGTCGCCGAGTTCAAATTCCGGGCTAGCCTGTTGCGTTCACTGAGCTATACATGAACCGTCTCTTCATCTAGTTCTGGGTTAAATAAATAGCAAGGTAAACTATGTTCCCCAGCCTTGGGTGGTAACCAATCTTAGAGAAAGAAAACATTGAATTCCAAGCCGTGGAGTACTCCTTTATCTTTCCCAATAATGCATAGCAATTTACAGATAATAAAGAAAAAGAAATCTATAGAGAGCCATGATCGCCCACTTCCTAAAGAGTCATGACGTTTGTTTAACCCTTTAAATGGCTACTGCTGTGATTTGCTTCGTAGCTGGGCTATTTGTGCATTTTCCACGAGTGCTAGTGGCCAAGTGGAAGGTGGCTACACCTTCTGGGTAGGACGACCTGAATCTGCAAAAAGAGAATCTGGCGTGGAATTTGCTATCAGAAACGATCTTGTGTCACAACTGGAATCACTTCCAGTTGGTATTTCTGACAGGCTAATATCTCTTCGCTTACCTATCGATAGGTATATGCATGCCACCTTAGTTGTTATGCTCCTACCATGGGACTCTACTGAGGATGAGGAGGTAAAATAACACTTTTACTGCAACCTTCGTGAATTTCTAAGACGGACGTCATTTCGTGACAAACTTTGTGATGGGGGACTTCAATGCTCATGTTGGATGTGACACACTATCCTGGGGTAAAGTCATTGGAAAATATGGCGCCGGTAAATCAAATTCTAATGGGATATTGCTGCTGTCTCTTTGCAGTGAATTCGATTTTGTAATCACCAACACAATTTTCCAACAACCAACTAGTTTCAAAACTACATGGCGACATCCTAGATCAGGCCACGACCATCTCATTGACTACATCGTCGTTCGGGGTTATGATCTCCACGACATAAACATGACACGATCACTAACAATCGGTCAATGTTGGTCAGATCATAAAATTGTTTGCTCACATAAGGCGATGCATTTGAAGAAGCCTGTTAGAAACAATCGAGCAAAACTACCAAAGGTAGACATAACAAAGCTGAAAGACAGGGAAACGTTAAACTCTTTCCAAACATTGTGTGATTCAAAACTTTCATGTCTTGATGTAGGTAATGAAGTTGAATCGGCATGGTCTGCCTTACAAAACATACTGTATGACTCGGCAAAAGAAACACTCGGGTATGTTCAGCGAAAATATCAAGACTGGTTTGATTCAAACGATCCTGAAATTAAATCTCTCCTCGAAAACATGCATAAATGTCATCAAGTCTGGATAGTACACAAAGCATGCCTATCAAAGAAACGGGCCTTTAAATCAGTCAAGGGAAATTCTCAATCAAAATTGAGGGAGATGATGGAGGGCTAGTGGACAGCTAAACCTTTGCAGGAGTCTGCTGACAGATGTGACTTCAAATCATTCTACCAAAACTTGAAGGGTGTTTTTGGTCTCATTTCCAGCGGTCTGTCACCAATCTTTTTATCAGATAACACTCTTTTGACAGACAAAAACCACATTATCAAACGCTGGGCAGAACATTTCCCACGGTCCTAAATCAGGATTCATCTGTTGATGCTGAAATAATAAACAACCCTCTTCAGACACCTGTTGTACAAAGCCTTTCTGCTAACCTTTCAAAAAACATCGAACAGCTTTCGAATGGAAAATCCCCCGGCGAAGATAGAATTCCAGTTGAAATATACAAATGTGGCACCAAACTTTCGATACGCAAAATTTGTGAATTTTTCAACCCTGTGTGGGGAAAAGTGAGACGTGCCACAGTAATATAAGGATGATTCAACTATTTGTATAAGCGCAAAGGGAACAGGTGTGAATGCTACAACCATAGAGAATATCTCTTTTTTTGGTTGCTAGCAAAATTCT